GCTCTGTGTCTCCCACCCACCCAACAGCAGCTCACATTTGGCCTCCTTACCCTCCTGGCCTGAGTGCTGCAGGTGCTCCTGCAGGTCACACCCAAACACTCGTTCCTTTGAGCTGCCCTTCTTCTTTCCTTTCTGCCGAGACTTCATGGCCGGGGCCCTAGGGCTCTGGCACCGCCACCTCTGTCCCCCAAGATCTTTGCTGTTTCAGTCCCCCATGGGATCTCAGCCAGCCACTGGACTTGGCCCGGCCCCCGGGGGGCAGGGCTCCAAACCAGGGGTGGAGGGTGGCCTGGGCAACGGGCAGCAACTCCTGCCTCTGGGGCCCTGGCCACACGGAAGTGGCTGTGGAGGAGGAAGCTGCCAGGACCCTAGCAAGAAGTTGTCTCGTGGCCCAACCTGGCACTCGCCCTTCTTGCCCTGCTCAGTTCTGGGGCGGGGGGGGGGGGGCGGGACCCAGGGGAGGTCCCCCCCCGCCTGGGGGGCCCGGGCCCCNCAAGTCAAGGGTTAAGATCCCCTTACCGGTCATCTTTTAAAAAAAAAAAAAAAAGAAATAAAAGTTAGAGACAGGGTTGGGGTGATGGAGTCAAAGGGATTGAGACATCAAAGAAATGGAGATGGGGTCAGGGAGGAGGGGCCAAAGTTTAGGGACCTGGTGAATCAGAAACCTGAACAAGGTGTAAAGAGATAAAGATTAGGAAAAGGAAGAACTCAGTACATACAAGCCTTGGGGAAGGAAGAGACCCAATTGGGGGCAAACAGGTGGGAGGGAGAGCTGGGATGGAGCAAGGCTGTGAAAATGGGGGGAATCAAAATAATCAGAAACACAGATCTCCTTGGCCTGGGCTTTCATTTCCTTGCTGGGTGTTGGGTTAAAGAGAGATGCCATCACCAGCCCCTCTCTGTCCTTCCACTTTCCACCTGTTGCACCAAGAGATGTGGGGAATGGAGGTGAGGGTCACCACTGCTGCTCTGGCGCCCAAGATCACTCCACCCCTGGGTGAGGTTCCAGTGAGGAACAGGAGGTACTTCTCTTCTGTACTGGGATTCAACTAGGATTAGAACCCCATAACCAGAGCATGTGCCTCACCTGCTGAGAATGCAGACAGGAGCCAGCAGAATTACAGGAGTGGGATCTGGGCTGGCTGTGGGTTCAGTGATTCAAGATAGGGTTGGTAGGTGGGTATTAGAACCCCATAACCAGAGCATGTGCCTCACCTGCTGAGAATGCAGACAGGAGCCAGCAGGATTATAGGAGTGGGATCTGGGCTGGCTGTGGGTTCAGTGATTCAAGATAGGGTTGGTAGGTGGGTCACAGGAAAAGGCAGCTCTCAGACGAGGAGGCTGGACTGAGGGTTTGCCGAGAGCTGAAGAACACCAGCCCCAATTAAATTGTGTGGTCCTTGGCCCAGAATCATCACTCTCTAGAAGAGTCCCTTGTAAAGACTAAGCCCTGTGCTGACAGCTGTGCCACATCTACTCTGCCCAGTTGAAGAGGAAGGTGCAGAGAAGCCCACTTCAGTTGTTTAACACTTTTCCTCGGGCCTGGGCTTTCCCTTCATGGAGGCCAGTGGGGATGGGGCTCTCCTTGGGAGGAGAAAAGGGGAAGGTGTCTGGGGAGGCAGGGGAGGAGCCAAGAGCAGGAAATGAGCTGGGAACCACCATTGCTGTCCCTCCACTGCAGGCACCACAGCCCAGAGCAGAGGAGGGGACAAAGAGGAAATGACAGATTGGGCTGGGGTGGGGTGGAGGGGAAGAATCGTGCCTTTCTCTGGGAGGAGCTCGAAGTGCCAAAAACAAGCTGGGCTGGACAGCCAGGATACCTGGGTTCAGCTTTAAATCAAATCAAGAAATGGTTTTGAGCCGCTACTTCATGCCAGGCACAGCTGTGAGCTTGATGTTGTACCTGGTCCTACTGGCTTCCAAGCCCACTCCTAAATAACTCAGGGAAGGAGCTGGGTAAGCTCCACAGACAGTCCCCACACCCACCCTCCTTTGGACCCTCCACCCCCAGCTTCAAACCAGGCCCCAAGGCATCTCTCTCACTCTTCGGTGTTCCTTATTTCAGCAGTTTCTCCCCTCGCTCTCCACTTTGAACCTGTTTCTCCTTTGCACAGGGAGAACAGAGAATCACAGAGACCAGGGAAGAAGGCTATTCCCACCCCACATCCTCACCTGTGGCCCAGCAAGGCTGCAGAGGAGCCAGAGCCCTGTAACCTTGTCGCTGGGTGCTCTCCTCCAACCAGGAAACCCCCTTCCTCTCCAAGTGCCATCCTTAGCCTCTCTTGGGGCCCTTCTCCTGTCTCCTTTCATTCAGACCCAAGGACCAGCTGCTACCCCTTCGGCCACTCTCCTGATCCCAGCCGCGTGCCCTCACCTCTGTTTCATCCCCCTCTCCTGCGGTTCCAATCTCTCCATCCTCTCCCCTCACTGCTCCCTGTGCTCACATTCTCATCCCTTCAGCCACCCGTCCCAAGAAAGTTACACAGGAAGCCACCCTGCCTTCTTTACTGAGCCACATTTCCTGTCCTGCCGTCTTTGGGGTGGTGACCCCCAACCACTGCTCCTTCCCCATGAGTACCCAGAAGCTGCTTCTGCCCCTCAGACCAGATCAGGCTGGAGAAGCTCTGTGTCTCCCACCCACCCAACAGCAGCTCACATTTGGCCTCCTTACCCTCCTGGCCTGAGTGCTGCAGGTGCTCCTGCAGGTCACACCCAAACACTCGTTCCTTTGAGCTGCCCTTCTTCTTTCCTTTCTGCCGAGACTTCATGGCCGGGGCCCTAGGGCTCTGGCACCGCCACCTCTGTCCCCCAAGATCTTTGCTGTTTCAGTCCCCCATGGGATCTCAGCCAGCCACTGGACTTGGCCCGGCCCCCGGGGGGCAGGGCTCCAAACCAGGGGTGGAGGGTGGCCTGGGCAACGGGCAGCAACTCCTGCCTCTGGGGCCCTGGCCACACGGAAGTGGCTGTGGAGGAGGAAGCTGCCAGGACCCTAGCAAGAAGTTGTCTCGTGGCCCAACCTGGCACTCGCCCTTCTTGCCCTGCTCAGTTCTGGGGCGGGGGGGGGGGGGCAGGAAGCTGTGCAGCTCCTCAAACCCGCTTCCTGTTAGAGCATCTTTGCAACCACAGGGCCTGGGGTGGGGGAGGTAGCTGACATTCACATCCTCACCCATGGCTGGGATTTCGCTCATTGGTCACGGAGAGGTGACGTCAGAGCCCTGGGGTGGGGTGATGGTGCCTGGGGAGTAAGTAGGTGACTGACACCCTTAGAGACCAGAATTCTTGGGTCCAAGGTGGACACCTGAGGCTCACCTGGGAGCAAGGCAGCACAGGGCTGTGCAAAGCACACCCAGGAGGGGGTATACCCAGGCTCTGCCTCTGACAGGCCTGTCACCTCAGTCACATGGGGGGGGGGGGGGGGGGCAGGAAGCTGTGCAGCTCCTCAAACCCGCTTCCTGTTAGAGCATCTTTGCAACCACAGGGCCTGGGGTGGGGGAGGTAGCTGACATTCACATCCTCACCCATGGCTGGGATTTCGCTCATTGGTCACGGAGAGGTGACGTCAGAGCCCTGGGGTGGGGTGATGGTGCCTGGGGAGTAAGTAGGTGACTGACACCCTTAGAGACCAGAATTCTTGGGTCCAAGGTGGACACCTGAGGCTCACCTGGGAGCAAGGCAGCACAGGGCTGTGCAAAGCACACCCAGGAGGGGGTATACCCAGGCTCTGCCTCTGACAGGCCTGTCACCTCAGTCACATCGCTTCGCTAAGCTTCAGTTTCCATACATATGAAAATGGAGGGAGCAGATAGATGATCTTTAAATCCTTCCAAGTTTAACAGTCTGTGGAACTCATTTGTCTTGAGTTTCAGTTTCTTAATCTGTAAAAAGGGTATGCTGCTGTCTACCTGGCTCGGCTGTTGTTGTGAGTCTCCAGTACAATAAAGGATTTAGAACAACAAACTAAGGTACTGGCTATCCTGAAAGGGGTTCTGAGCTCTACCATCCTCTCTGGAGACTTTCAGAGATGGCTGAAGGTCTTGAGGAGGCCAATTCTTTCCGTTTTCCCTTTCAGCTACAGGCACCCTAACTCCTCCATATTTGGGACCACAGGGAGAATGGTACTAAGACAGACTATGGGATTTAGGCTCACACAGTTCAAGTGGCAAGACAGGAACCAGACAGAGCACAGGTTTTATCTGTTTATTTAAAAACAGAATATCATTTTATGTACAAATATGCACATATTTACACAAAATGTACATAATAGGATCCCAGATCTTCAGGATCCACATTCAAAGTCCTGGGCTGGCTGGGGAACATGAGATGGGAGCCTCTCGTTTTGTCCAGAAGTCCAGCAAATTTTAGGCCTAGCAGGATTTGGGCACTAAATCTAGGCATTCTAAGTGTGTCTCTAGGTAGACCAGGTAAATATAAAATTCATCTAACTCCAACCGTCCCCCAGAGAAATTGTCAGAAGAGCCCTGAATTAGTGACCCAAAAACTCCTGGGGGAAAAGGAGACATTCTCACTCCCAGCACTTCCTTCACCTCACCTGAACTCCTACTCTCCCTTGGTCTGAAACCACTACCCTCTCTCTCCTACACCACAATTGAACCAGAAGCTCTTGTCACCAAGTCTCAGTAACACCCCAAGGGACCACAAACAACTGTGGATACAACTAAAAAGAGACGAGGCTAGGGGAAGAGTTGAGGGGCCGCAAGGGTCAAGGACCCTTCCCTGTCCTCCCTTTGCCAGTAACCACAGGCTCACACCCTTAATTCCAGACTCCACCAGATCTCAGGCTCCCACCCAAGGGGCTGCCTCGATGAAGATATCTTAGAAGGAGCACCTTTCAGAACTACAGAAATTAACTCCTGGGGTGGGTTCTGAGCCACATCTAGTTGTACTGAATTCCTATGTAGGCTGGCCTCACCATAAGCAATCCCAATAACAAATATCTGGACAAATCAAAAGTGTTTTAAAAGTTTTCTCTCTTATTAGAGGATTTGGAGCAGTATTCCTGAAAGAAGCTCTCCTGTGCAGGTTTATTTACAGAAAATATGTACATGCAGCAGGCCCAGAGGCCACCAGAGGGCAGAGGGCTTCTTCTGTAACAGTTCAAGCCTCTGGCAGCCCCCAGGGCCACCTGCTTCACACTTGCCCCAACGTCTCCCAGGTGGTGGGAGCCCAGCTCCCCCACTCCAGAGGCCAGATTCCAGCTCCAGCTGTGCCCGCACACCTGGATCTGGCCCACAGTCTCCACCTCTTGCCTCTAATCTCTGCATCACTAATACTGCTCTGGGGTCTGAGGAAAATACCTGCATTTACAGGCAGAGGTCACACAGCCACGTGACACACAAACCAAACCCTGATGTCGCTCCCCATGTGGCCACCTGAATCCTATGGCACACACAGCATGGTTCACTTGGACTCTGACATGACAGCACAACACAGACCATGGGCACAGTCGCCCCTCCACACACACACAGTCAGTGAATACTCACACAGGCACAAGTGCACACACACAGTGACCTGCACACAGTGACCTGGGAGAGACTCAACCAGTGGAGCCCTCCCAACAAACAGAAGGGTTGGAGGAAAAAGTCAAGCAGTCAGTGGGGTAGGGAGCATCTTCCTCAAGAAGTGGGGGCATTTAAGGAGGCCCCTGAGATGAGCTGAAATCCCCAGTGTCAACAGAAGGAGCCAGGCCTAGAGGAGGGAGGCAAGCCTGGGTCAGACCAGGTGGCCCCGCCCATTGATGTAGATGCCATTGCCCGTGGGCTTGGCCCGCAGGGTCCCGTTCTCCTGAACAAAATGGTTCATGGCCTGTTTGATGCCTTCATCCTGATCTTCCTCTTCCTCTGCCCGCCCAGAGCCTGGAGATAGTAGTTCGGTCTGTGTTTCGATCTCCCTCACTGTGGTCAGCGTGGAGTAACTGCGGCCCTCGGGCTCTTCACTCTGGAAGCCAAGGGCAGAGGGCAGGTCAGGAGCCAAGGCAGGGTGGCCAGACATAATGGGGTATGGTTGGGTCACAGTGGGGTCAGAGTTCAGGCAAGCAGGGATAATAGTTGTCTCAGAGGCATACGGGCTCGGAGATCAGGGGCCAGGAACAAGCATCAGGCATGGGGAAGGGGAGATGGGAGAACAAAGGCAAAGCAGAGAAGCGGGGCTGGGCCATGGGAGCAAGGGCCAAGGAGAAGGGGACTGGTAAGGGGGCTGCTGACGCACCACGTCTGGGACCAGGAGAGGGGCCTGAGGAGAGTGGTGGGGACACCGGTGGGGCCGGGGGCCTCACCATCACAGAGCAGCTACTGTTGTCCTTGAGACTATCAGGGTGGCCCTCGGCTCTCAGCCCTACACTCTCCTCCGGCTGCAGGGCCCGGACATGGGGGAGGAGTTAGAACAGAGCTCAGCCTCCTTCCCTCAGCCTCTTCCCCTCTCGTCCTCCACCAGCCTCCTCCCTAATCACCTTTTCCCCCAATCTGCAGGCCCATTCTTTCCTTGACACAGACATCCTCACTCCCCCACCACCACCCCGAACCCACCCTGGAACCAGCACTGATGGTGGCTTCCCAGAGCAGCCCCTAGGCCAGTGCTGAAAGGGACCTTCCAGAGCAGCCCTAGCAGACCCAAAGCAGCTACATGCCCTCACTCCACCCCCAGCCCAGCCCCAGCTATGAATCAGTGGCCAGATCTGGTGGAGGGCTCTGCTGATCTGCAGAGGGGCCCAGGTGCAAGCAAACCCCAGTGTGGCCACGACCCACGCATGCACCCAACCTTGGCACATACCTGGCTCCTGGGGTCCGTATGATGGGAATGCAGCCTCCGGATAGAGTTCTCCCTGGTCAGAGTCAGCTCCTCCTCACTGGGAAAGACACCCCCTTGTCAGGAGCTGAGGGTACTGGCAGTCTCCCAAGGTGAGCCTAGCCTGGCTGAGCTTATGTGAGACAGGGCTGGAGGGTGTGGGTGCCCTGCTGGCATGAAAGTGTGAGTGTGTGGCTGCAGGTGGCAGTGTGGCTAAGGCACACGGGCATATGGATTTGATCCTCACTAGGCAGTACGGTTCCCCTCATCCAGCTGTGGTCAAGGCCCCAAGCTCCTCCTCACTGCCTGAAAGACCCTGCCCACGTCTGGTCCAAAAGCTCCCCACTTGTTAAGCCACCCAGTCACCCCTCTCTCCTTGGTCCTGACCCACCTCTTGCTTGCCTTTGCTCCCTCTTCATTCCCAGCTTAGTTCTACCCACACAGGAATGGCCAGTACTCACTATTTCTGGGTCATCTGCTGGGCCTTGCGCCGATGGTATCGGGACATGAGCACCACTACCACCACCAGAAGGCAGAACAAGAGTGCGGCGATCACACCCACCACCACCACCGAGGCCGACACTAGGTCCACCTGCTTCCCTGAGTCTTCCTGAGGGTCTGCTGGAGACAGACCATTGTCTGAAGTGGGTGCCCAGATCCCTGACCCACCCCAGACCCCACAGGCTCATGCACACTGTCCTCACAAAACATATCCAAAACCACCCCCTCAGCTTGATCCTCTACGAAATACACAGTCCAGCCCCCTCCAGATAAATACTTTCCCAGTTCATTATGTCTGCCTTGCTTTCTGTTGCCCCCACCAGGCCCTCACCCAGATCCCTTGTTTCTGCCCCCAGTGCTTACCAAGAACAGCCACCGTGACCTGAGAATCCCTCGAGGACAGCTCGTTGCTGACATGGCAGACGTAGGTGCCACTGTGCTCAGTAGTCAGTGAGGGAAAGCCCAGAGTGTCCCCTTCTACTCGTACCCCACTGGGCATTGGCCCATCCAGCCTGGAGGACAGGGAAGCTGAAGGGTGCCTGCTGGGACGGACTGAGGCTGCCACCACCCAACGTGCCCAGGCAGCTCTCCACCCCCCTCCCCCATGACGTCATCCAGAGCCTCCGGCTGTTCCCACGGTGCCCCTCCCTCCCCTAGGCAGGTCTAGGCAGAGGCCCCTTCTCCCTGCCACCCAGCCTGACCCGGGCACCCCCCACACACACTCGGGGAAGATCCACATGTGTGCCATCCCACATGTGCCCACAGGCATACATCATCCAGCACTGGGTACCAGGTACACATGTTATAAAAGTCCACACAACAGGACCCTCCACTCCTAGCTGGGCTCAGAGGTACTTGGAAAATATGACTGCATGCTTCAACACCCGTGATGTTTTATGGCAGGGTACACGACCATAGCCCCAGGCACAAGGCCACGTGCATCACTCATATGCTCATTCGTGAGAACATGCCTGTCATGGGCTCACACACATGTGAATCTGACCCCTCCCTAATTCTCTAGACATCTCAGACCCTGGAAAAAAGCCAAGGACTCCTTGAGGAAACTGGAGGAGGTGGGTGGGTGTTCTGAGGTGCTAGTTACAGGGGTGTTGGTTTAGCAACAGTTACAGTCAGCTGTATCTTTTTGTCTTATGCATTTTACGCACTCACATAAGTATATAAAATATTAACATTTAAATACTGTGTTATATTTACTGGCCGGCTGCCAAAAATAATAATAATAATAATAACACTGTGCTGTGTTTCACAAATCAAAAGAAAAAAATCCAAGGACTTATCAGTTTATTCCCTACCAATGACAATGTATCCTAGATTCCCTACGGCAAGCCAATAATATTTGGTGACCATGCATATTTTTGTATTGGTCTGAACATGTGGTTCAGAATATATTGTCCCAGCCCGTAATGAGTACCTCCTGGCCCTAAGAGGGAAGGACCCTAGTCCCAAGCTAGGCCCTCTCCCAGGCCCAGGCCTTACCGTGTCCAGTTGTATGAGGGAGAAGGCTGCCCTTCACTTAGGCACTTGAGCATAGCTCCTTCTCTGCCAACGTGCCACAGCTTTTGGTCTTCAAGGCCCCTCACAGAGGCCTCAGCAAGGACTGGAATGGGAGGTGGGAGGAGAAAGAATGGGAATGATGCCTTTAAACGTGTGGTTCCTTGAAGGGCCCCCGCCCCACGCCCCATGCCCCACCCTGCCTGGAACAGCCTCCCCTTTGCCCTTCTCCGTCCTACTCATCTGCTGCCAAACCTCGCTCAGCCCCACCTCGCTGACGGCTCCTGGCCACACGGGTTCCCTCCCGTCTCTGAGCTCAAAGAGTCTATATTGGTTTACCCGTGCAATAAGCCCCAAAGTCCCTCAGGGTAGTGATGTGTCACACTTTTTCTGGATCTCCTGTGGTGCCTAGTGTAGTGCTCGTCACAGAACAGGTGCCGAATAAATGCTGCCTGATTCTTCAAAGGCTTAATAATCCTACTAGTTCATTCATTGCTCTAAAACATACATTTGTTGAGGACCTAGTTTGTGCGAAATGCTGGATTAGCCTAAGCTGAAAACAGTCTTATCCCCCCAAGAGGCTTGAAGTCTAATGCTGAGAAAATAATATCTACTGTTTACTGAGCACTTTCTATGAGCTAAACACTGTACAAGATGCTTTGCATTCGTGTTTTCTTTCTTTCTTTTTTTTTTTTAAAAGATGACCGGTAAGGGGATCTTAACCCTTGACTTGGTGTTGTCAGCACCACGCTCAGCCAGTGAGCGAACCGGCCATCCCTATATAGGGATCCAAACCCATGGCCTTGGTGTTATCAGCACCACACTCTCCCGAGTGAGCCATGGGCCGGCCCTTGCATTTGTGTTTTCTAATTCTCATTAAAACCCTGTTAAGTTGTTATAATTATACTCATTTTGCTGATGAAGAAAATGAAGCCTATCAAGATTAAATAACAGCTGGCAAATGGCAGAACTAGGGCTTTTCCTAGTTCCAAACCCTAAATTGTATATTTTACAAAGTGCTTTCAAATCCATGTTTAGGGCCGGCCCGTGGCTCACTCGGGAGAGTGCGGTGCTGATGACACCAAGGCCGCGGGTTCGGATCCTGTATAGGGATGGCCGGTTGGCTCACTGGTTGAGCGTGGTGCTGACAACACCAAGCAAAAGGGTTGCGATCCCTTTATCGGTCATCTTTAAAAAAAAAAAAAAAATCCATGTTTATATTTGATTCTCCCAACAACCCTGTGAAGCAGTATAATCTCCTTTGTAAAGATAAGGACACTGATGCTCAGGGAGGTCTAAGTGATCTGCCGAGATCATCTGGGATTGGGCTCTACGTCTTCAACCTTCAGACTAGTGCTCTGTCATGCATTGCAGCCCCCAGGCTAGCCAGCGTGAGTGGCTCAGGGCCTCACAGTGTCCCACCAATCCTCTCAGAACCCACGGGAACTCCCTACCCGAGCATCCAAGTACTCACAGGCCACTTGCAGGACGTGGGTGATCCTTTGGTCCTGGAGCAGGCCAGGGTGGGACACCACACAAGTAAGTGGCTGACCATTCATGCTGCGGCTAGGCACCAGGTGGAACTCTGAAGTGACAGCAGCAGAGCGGGAGTGTTTGAAGGAACGGCTGGATGTTGTGCCTTTGACCTCTGTGTCCCAGGTTACACTGGGGGCCGGGTTGCCCTCAGCTGTGCAGGAGGCTGCCAGCGTCAGACCCTGGCCTTCTTCTAACGCTGGACCAGGATTCAGTGAGGGCAGAGGAGGTACTGCAGATGGGGAAGGCAGGGGTCACAGGTCTGTACAGCCCATCAGGAGGCCCCAGCCCATCCTGTTTCAGTCTTGCACAACTGCAAACTTTCAGGCCCCCTTTCCTTCTCTTATTTCACCAATGAATACACCAGATGAGAGGCAGAATTACAGGTGACTCTGTATCTTTCTTCATTGTTTGAATTTTTTACAATGAGCATGGGTCATTTTAAAAATAAAAATAGTGAAGTAATTAAAAAATTAATCAGATGTCATCTATATAATAATAATAATAGCCATTTATTAAATGCATTTAGTATGTGCCAACTATTATGCTAAATACTTTACAAACATTATCTCATTTAATTCTGTCAACAAGCTACTGAGGTAGGTATTATTATCCCTATTTTACAGGTGAGGAAACTGAAGCTCAGGGAGCTTAAATGACTTGTCCCAAGTCATCAGCTATTAGGTAATGAAGCCTAGATTCACACTCAAGTTTTTCTACTGATTCACATCCAGGTTTTTCAAGGCTGGTGTTACTAACTTCCACACAGGCAAAGGGAAACAATAAAGGCCTTTATTTTTATCTTCAAAATATTAATAGCCCAAGCACAGAAGGAAAGACTCAACCATAGGTCTAGGGTTGACCTAAGTGTGCACAGTACAAAGTGGAAAATAACAGCAAAAGAAAAAAAGAAAGGTGATTTAAAAGTTGATTGTGAGGGGTGGCCCGTGGCTCACTTGGGAGAGTGCAGTGCTGATAACACCAAGGCCACGGGTTCGGATCCTATATAGAAATGGCTGGTTAGCTCACTTGGGAGAGCGTGGTGCTGGCAACACCAAGTCAAGGGTTAAGATTCCCTTACCAGTCATCTTTAAAAAAAAAAAAAAAAAAAAAGTTGATTGTGATCTCAGACTACATTCACTGAAGGTCCAGATCAAGGAAGGTATTAGCACCACCTGTCATGTATGGCTACACCATAGCTGGTCCTGTGTGTCCACATCCAGACTCCACATTATAAAACTGTGGAGCAGGGCTGGCTGGTTAGCTCAGCTGGTTAGAGCAAGGTGTTGGATGCCCATACGAGCCAGCCGAAAAAAAAAAAAATTAAATTTAAATCATGGAGCTCAGGATGGGGCCGCGGGGAGGGTGGGGGGAGGGGGGACTTTTGAATCAGTGACCCTAGTGGAACTGTGACAGAAAGCTGTGCAAGCTGAGCTTGGAGAAGAGTAGATTTTGGTGGAGTATAACAAAAAATTCGCAGCTCTTTGAAAGGCAGAAGAGAGAATGAGCCTGTGCGGTATTCCTCCAGAGGGCAAAGGTAACAGAGAGGGAGATTTCAGGTCATCGGAAGGAAGACCTTCTTAGTAAATGGATTCTTCCTCAGCTTTCGGGGTTACCGGAGAGAATTTCTGGATTGGGTGGGAGGATGGGCTGGATGAAGCTCCCTCACCCCTACAGGACCCCATCTTTTATCCGTGTTCTGCCTCTGCTCCACCCATCTCTGCAGTCCTCATCTCTGCTGCTGTCTGCCTCTGGCTTCTCTCCTCCGAGATCCCGGGCTTGGGGTCCTGGAGCATCTGCACACACAGCAGCCCCAGACCATGCCCAGCCGGCCCCACTCACCCAGCACTCGGAGCCGCAGCCGTGCCTGGAAGCTGCCGGCGGGGAAGGTGCTGACGCGGCACTCGTACTCTCCCTCGTCGGCCTGCACGGCGTTGCGCAGGAGCACGGAGCCGTCAAGGGGGTCCCGTGGGGGCGGCGGCTGTTCCACGCGGCCCTCGTAGGCAGAGCTCACATGTAGTCCGTACTTGGAGTGCAGTAGCGCCAGCTCTCGGACGCCCTCGCCCGCGTCCACCCGAGCCCATGCCACCTGCCCCACCTGCTCGCCAGGGTCTCCTCTGTAGAAGCAGGGCAGCTTTGCATCCTGGCCCAGCACCACGGTCACCAAGTCTGAGGTCTCCAGTTCACCCGCGGGACACCGGCCTGCAGAGGGCAGACAGGAGCAGCCAGGGTTAGGGGCGCTGCCAGGGCCGGGGAGCGTATTCACAAAGATAATGACGGCAAAGGCAGCGGAAATCCTGGAGCATTTTATGCTTGCAAAGCGCGTTCAGTTCATTACCTCATTAGATCCACAAAACATTCCCAAGAGGTAGGCGTTATTATCACCATTTAACAGATGAGGAAACTGAGACCCAGAGAAAGGAAGTGTCTTGCCTAAGGCCACACAGACAATTTATGGAAAACTCACACCCTCTTGCAGCCTAGGATTGTATCCTGAGCAATTGTAATGTGGGAGGCTGTAACACGATGGGAAATCCAGCTCCTGTCCTCAGGAAGCTCAGAGTTCTCAGGAAAATGGAATTTATGCACACAGAAACAGGGAAAGACATGGACAAACTTCCACAGGAGACTCAGCCTGCCAACAGGATAAAAGTGGATGCTTTCAGGAAGTGTGGCCTGGAGCCATGGCAAGGGTCCGGAACCACTGGTGTCTGGGATGGGGGAAAAGGAGTGGGAAGGGTCCATCCTATATGCCCTTTGGAACATTCTTTTCATGGCTTGAAGATGAGAGACCGGGATTCCCAGAGAGAAGTAGGTATTCCACGTGGGAGGAATGGCATGAACCAGGGCTCAGAGGCCGGAATGAGCAAGTCGCTGAACACAGAAAGGACCCGGGTCAGAGGCCCAGAGAGATGAGGTCAGGCTAAACACAGCGACAGGGCAAGAATGGGGGGCCAGAATCAGAGGACCAGAAATGAAGAGCTAGTGTTTTGCACACTCACAGGGAGCAGGGATTTTGGAATCAGTGATATCCATCATGTAACCTTATCTGCAAATAAGAATCCACTCCCTGTCCTCATAGAAATTGAGGCCTGTTCAGGAGGAAGAGATACAACAGTTATGGAAATGTACAATGGTGGTTTCTGATGTAGTGCTCAGTGGTGTGTTGCAGGCCACTTGTGGGAAGGGGCAGTCACTGTGGTCCCGTCATGTGGGAGGGCCTCATGCATGAGTTGGGTAGTATTAGGAGGGGGAGAAACCTGGAAAGGCATCCAGATAAGGGACCAAAGTGAGCAAACACCAAAGAGGTGGAGAGGCTGGCTGGTTCAGGAAGCAAAGTGGAGAAGACCCAACCTAGGTTCTCTAGGCAGGGTGTGTGTGTTGAGCAGAAGTGGAAAATATGGTTGGGATAGGGTGGGGTCAAATCACCCCAGACCTTTCCTGGCAGGCAAAGGAATTCAGATTTGGTCAAGGAAATGGGGAGTCATTGAAGGTTCCTTAGCCAGGGAGTGGCCTGAGGCAAGTCTGAGTAGAAAGTAGGGAGACTGAAGACAGGACACTCACTAGGAGGCTGCAGCTACAGCCCTGGCGTGGTATTGCCAGGGCGAAGAGGGGGCAGTTCCTGGGGGAAATTTGACTGGGATGGATTTGGTTACTGACCACAAAGACAGATGAGGGAGATCAAAGACTGAAAGCCAACTCCTAAATTTCTAGGATGAGTAATTTATGAGGGAGGCAGACAGGGCCTAGGGAAGCTCATGGTTAGGAAGAAATACATTTGGAGTCACAGAATGAAACGTGAAATACAAGGTTAGGGGGTGGGGGCAGAGTGGGTGGGTGCTCTGGGATAGCAAGAGCTCCTTGCCTTAGAATGTATACTCCAGCAACCCCCGACAGTTTTTAGTTTCTGCCTCTGCCCAGCACTTCACACACCCTTTGCTCACCTTTCTTTGCTCACACGGTAGTCCATGCCTGGAGTGCATTCCGCCCTCTGTCTGGTAGCTCCTACTCATCATTGTCGGGATAACTCCTACTCATCCTTTAAGACTCCGCTTAGGCATCACCTCTTCCTGGAGTCCTCCCTCCTCTACCTCCACTTCAAGCAGCATTAGGTGCCTTTCCTTTGTACTCCCCTAGCACCCTGCTTTTAACCCTCTCATAACATTTTATCCCACAGATTGTATTTGCTATTTTCTCGTCTGCCCACCAGATTGAGCTCAAAATAACATCTCACATCACACATGGAAACATGATTTCTGATTTAGTGCTCAGTTGTAGGTGGTCTCCATTCCTGGTACATAACTGAGGCTCAATTAATGTTTATTGAATGAATGAATGAGTGGGTAAATGAATGAACTAGAGAGACAGGCAGAAGAAGGAAAGAGTAGAATGAGGAAGAATGAGCAGTCCTTGGCTGGGCTGGGCAGGGCAGGGAGGGCATTGACATGGCAACCTTGGGATGGAAGCAGGATAGGCTGGCTGCTGGGTTCACTGACAAAGGGAGTACCTCAGACTGGACAGATAGAGAAAGAAGGGATGGAGGGAAGCAAAGCCCCAGCAGACGGACCAGAGGGTACCAGTGAGGTAGAGCATGGGACAGGGGAAGAGGTCCTGTGGCCCTGCTGGCAGGAGTAGAGGGAGGGAGAATGCTGTTGGGTGCTGGGAGGGCCTGAATGGGACGGGACAGACCTGCAGGGCCGGATACCAGGGCCCTGACCTGCCTAAGCTGATGCTGGTCCCACCCAGCCCAGCCTGGGAGTCCAGCTAACCGCCTGCACCCCTCCCAAGCACCTCCTCCCAGCGTTAGAGGAAGCAGGGCTGGCAAGGAAGGGCTGGGGGTGGGCTTGGGATAGAGGCTCCCCAGCACATCCTCTGCTTCAAATGCTGGTATCTGTGCAGGTCACAGGGATCTCAAGCCCTGTGCCACTGGGACACTCAAACTTTTCTAAAGACTATTTCTGGGACAATGTCAGATGGTGTATTTCCCATCCCTATTCCTATACTTGCCAACCATTTGCCCTCTCCCCACCACTAATCACCCATACCCCCACACACACACCAAAAATAACTTCTTTCTTAGGACACAGCAGGCAGTAAGTACCCAGCACCTGCCTGAGTCCCAATCCTCTATGCCCTTACCTGTGAATTCAAGATCCCTACCCGCAAGGGGCAAGCCCAAGCTTTGCTGAATGAGGAACCCAGTATAACAGGAGTCCCTTCTAGAGCTCTCCCACAGCCCCCCTTTGTGCTAAATCCACTATTTAGTAGGAGCTTCTCAGCCTGGGGCAATACCCTTCTCCAGATACACCCCCATCCCTACCCCTTAGGCTGCAAGAGAAGAGAAAAGAAAACTCGAGGCCTAGAATCCCTGTCCTGTGCTAAATAGACCCAGGAGCCCAGGCTCCCAGGCCAGGGCAGGCCAGGACTGCCTCCTCCTTCTCTCCCCCACCCAGTACCTACCTGGCGTCAGCATGATGATGTCACCAGACCTAAGGAGACACATGGCCTGCGTGGTGAGGTCACCCATCGGGCATGTGGTGACCAGGCCAAGCCCATGGACCCTTCTGCTACAAATTGTTTGCTGAGGCTGGGGGACTCTGGCTAGCTGGGCACTCCTCCTCTGGCCTTCCCACCCCTCCTCCTGGGAGTACAGGACGCTGGTCAGGAGCCTTGGTGACTCAGAGGCTGCCACACAGCAGCAGACCTAGCTACAGCCGCCACTACCTTGCGCAAGGGAGAACAGGCCCAACTGGCCAGACGGGATCCCTGCCCTCAGCCTCCCCCACCCCGGCCAGGCCCCCACGGGCCTCTTCAGGGCCCTGCCCTTTGTGCACCCCGCCCGATCCTAGACAGGCCTTCCATTCCTGGCTTGGGCTAGCTGGCTGCTCCCCACCCTGTGCCTGGATCTCAATTTTCCTTTCTGTGTGAGGTCTGGCATCTGATCTTAGGAGGGGAAACTGAGGCTGGCACCTGCAGATACACAGCCATGGACAGCCTCTTTGAGGAAGAGCTCTTTTCTTTATGAGGCGCCTTTCTCCATTAGCATCCCCTGCTAGTACTTACAGAGTTACACTTAGGGGTCCTAGAAGTCGGTCTGTGAGAAGGAGGAAGTAAGGAAGTGTGAGTCTTTTATGTCTAAATGTCTGCTTATCTTTGGGTGAGGGACTAGCCAGCTTAGTACTAGTTCATATGCATGTGAGCCTATCTCCTTGCATGAATTTGGGGGTGTTTGGCACATGTATGTGTTCATGTCTTATCTTCAGGGAGTATATTTACTTACTTGTCTGTGCTATGTACTGGGCTGTGTGTGAACACGTGTGCACGCACCATCCCGTGTGCATTGCACACTCTCTGTATGCATGGTATGCATTCTTGCCCCGCAGAACTCTGCACACATAGTAAATATTTTGATATTGGTTTATCTTGGCTTTCGCATGTCTATCTGTCTCAGCTGCCCTTGGTCAGTGGCATGTGGTTCTGAGCCTTTGTCTCTGCATCCTGTCTGGAGTGTATATCTCTCCCCACCTCACCCCAAGACCTGAGGGCAGATTCATGTCAGGCTCAAGGTGGAGATACCCAGAGATGAGGTCACTGTCCTTCCAGGTGATGGGAAATTGCCATCAAAGGCTCCCCAATAGAACAAAACAAAAGCTCCCTCTGCCCTTGCTCTCCAGGTTCCTACTAAAGGGACACCCACCCTTTTACCCCCCCCACCATTCCCCTAGGCCCTCCCAGCACCTCTGGCCCCCCAAGGAGGCCTCTGCCTGGGAATCTGTCACTGCCACCACCAGAAAAACCAGCTCTAGCTCCAGGCCTGGGGTAAGGGTTGTCTGGTGTGGGTTTGGTGGGAAGGAGGCAGGAGAGGGGGGCAGGGGAGGAGGGTGGGAATCCTGCCTGGGGCAAGGGGGAGGGGTCCAAGCTGTCTAGGGTCTCATTCTCCTTTGTTAACTCTTGCCTCCCCTGCCCCCTCAGCAACAACTTCCACCACAGAGCTGAAGTACATACGAGTTTGGGGTAAGAAAGGCCCTGGGAGGAGAGCATCAAAGCCCCCCATCCAGGACAGGTGACTTAAACATCCCGGCAAGATCTTTTGAAAAATCCACCTTGACCTTGGCCTTGGAGTGCTAAGGAACTTTGAAAACCAGAAGATTCTCCCTCGCCCTTATCCACCTCCCTCACTTACCCTGCATTGTCCTAAGCCCCCCAGCTTAGTGAGAGCTTCCCAACCTGGGCAGAGTGCCCACCCACAGATTAGTGTCTGGGGAGGGGGGCCACACCAATCACAAAGGGAGATAAGAACAATGGAGGAGGACAGGCCTTGAGGCAGCCCCGGCTCTGGCCCAGACACAGCTCCCAGCACAGATAAGTCTCCTAAACCCCCCGGAGCCAGAGTCTGAGCCTGGCTGAGTCACCACAACAGCCACACTGTGGGTGGGAGACCCAGAATTCAGCTTCTCTCAAACTCCTGCAATTCTAGGCTCCCCCCCAATACTACCACCCCTCACCCCCCCACACACACACTGTGACCAGCTCTGCTCCACCCCAAATCACAGCTTCAACTCCAGCTCTCAGCACATACCAGTTTTAGAAGGAAGCGAGGAGAGGGGACAAAAAACTATGGGAAAAGCTCCTGAGGCCAGAGGCTCCCTGATCCAGTGACAGTGTGATGATCCCATCTGCCTTCTCCACAGCCATCCTCCAGGAGGCACGGTGGATGATTCCCTCGTTCTGAACTTCACCTCCTCATTTTAGTTTTATTCCCAGATCCAGACCCTAGGCTCCTCTACTCCTTTCCTGCCTCAGTTCCCCACATCACCTCCATCCCTGTCTCTGTCTAGACTTCAGTAAGTACAAAAGCAAGTTTTGGAGGCCAGAAATCCCAGACATTCTTGCCGCACTGGGCTTGCTCCCCACTATGGCTCGCCCCCATTCACTTTGCCTGGAGGACCCCAGGATCCAGAGGTTGTGGTCCAGAAGATGAGATCATGAATTCTAAGTTCCTCACCACCATCTCTGTGGCTGGGGTCCCTTAGACCCACTCCCTTAAACACTAGGGTAGGACCGAGGTCACTGGGGCCACAGGGATTCCCTGGGATTCTCCTAGTTCTCACCACCTTGGGTGGGGAAGCTAGCCTCCCTTTCTGGCTTCCCTGAGTTTGGGTAGGTCCTGCAGGAAAGGGCCTGCCCCCCTCTGTAAACAGGAGTAGAAAAGCAGGGATGGGGCCCCTCCCTTTCTAGGAAACTAACTTCAGACAGAAAGCTGATCCTAACCCTCAGAAGACAGACCTCAGAATTCAGAGAGCCACTCATCCTCTGGCCCTGCACAAAGAGCTGGGGACTAGAATCCTATGGGGGGGGTATCTTGTAGGTTTGAGCCCCTCAGCCTCAGGGCAGGAGATGGGGGAGGGAGAAGGGAGGAGACCTCGCCCGGAAACTCATCCCATTAAGGAGAGACAAAGAGCTGTGGTGTTGAGGCACCTCCCAAGCTGGGGCTCCTCTCCCTGTGAGGGGTGGGGCAGGGCCCTGGGGCTCAGAGCTCCAATGGCCCAGTAGTTGGGGTGGGGGGGCCCTAATTCACAGTATGGCTAGGAAGGCAATATCCTGGGGAAAGATACTCTGCTCCCCACTGAGAGACAGGACCAGGACACTTTCCTCCTTCTGTCTCCATAGTCAGACCGACTTTTCCAACACCCCAGCACCCACCTTCAGCCAGGGGTTGGACAATCGCAGAGACATAGTATCAGAGTTGGAAGGTCCATAGAAATCATCTGGTCCTAGTTCTTGGTCTACTGAGGTCTAGTTTCTTAGTTACCCAAGGCCACCTAGCAAACTAATAGTAGAAACAGGATCAGAACTCAAGATTCCTGGCTTCCAAGTCCACGGATTTTTCAGAGACCTGAAACATTCCAGGTTCCTAAGGGGCCTTTAAGAAGATGCCTGCACACAGCATAGCCAGAATGGAGGTGGCAGTAGAGGTGGGACCATCTGATCCTCAGGTGGGAACCTAAGGTCTGAGTCTCCAGCCCTCAGAGCAACCTCCAGCTCTGTGCAGGCTATAGCAACAGTACCAGCAGAGTGGCATCTTACTAGGAATCCTGGAGTCAGACTTCCTCCTTTACCACAGCACCTCTCACTCAGGCATTGGGTGAGGTCAGGGGTAATTTCCTAACTAGAAGGGGGTCTCCTTTTCCCTTCCTTAGACTTCTCTTTGAGAGAAGTTTTGCATCATGGAAAAGGAAGGTAGGGACCGTGTCTTATTCACCATTGCATCTCCAGTATCTAGTACCTTGGCTGTACCCAGTGTGCACTCAAAAGTATTATTCTTTAGTGGACTAGGAGTCAGGAGACGAAGACACTAACCCTCGTTATGCTTCCAACACCAGGTTATCTTGTAGATCTCACTTGCCAATCTATTTCTTTCAATTTTTCCATCTGTAAAATGAGGGAGTTGGAGTGGTGATCTCTTTGATCCCTTCCAAGTCCTGAGAGAGCATGGCTCCATTCTTTAGGTGTGGGTAGATCCTATAGGAAAGTGACTGTTGGGTTTCCTGGCCCCAGCCATGAGGCCCCGCACTCTTGATCTAAGCAAGTGAGAAGGATTGTCTGGAAGATGGGAATTAAGACACAGGGGTTGGAGGGATGGCAGGGGTTGGAGCTCAGTATCCTGTGACTGGAGGCTGGACAAGTGACCTTCCCCTATAAGATCAGAGTGAGGGCAGCCCACACCCCCACCGATCCACACATCTAGGTCTTGTTCTCCTGAGAGCTTCAGCAGGGAATCACGGCTGGGTCCTCCTGGACAACTGAGGCTCCCTAGCTACTGCTCCTGGGGCTGAGAATCAAACTGTCCTATCCAGATAGGGCCCCATCTTTCCAAAAAGAAAGATGTCTTTGTTACTCATTTCCCTGGGAACAGCCTATGGAATCCCACCATGGTCTCATTGGGCATGCGCACACACATGCTCTCTCCCCCGCTCTGAAGATTATAAATGCCTATACTGTATGCCTGCTCTACATCAGACAGGCAGGAGGTGGGGAGTAATAAAAGGCATCTAACTGACAAAATGGGGAGAACAAAAGATGAACAAAAGGGACCACACCCCATCTAAAAGATACCCTTCCCTAGACCCCCACCCATCTGAACAACCCCTTTATTACCACCCTGGCACCTAATAGTGTGCCCAGGGAAAGTGAGGGGCCATAGTCTCCCAACACGTGCCCCAGTCCTGGTTCTCTAGAACATCATGGAGAGAAAAGAAGGGAATAGAATGCCCTGTCCACTCTCTGGGCATCAGGCTTCCTGCACTCCGATGACTGCTGAGACCAGCTCAGCCCTGAGTCAGCCCCATTTCCAGGCAGCAGCTCTGGAGCCCAAGGGATAGGCCAAGGAGCCTCCATGAAACCCTGGGGTGAGCAGGGTCCTCACCAGTTCTGCCTCCCTGCCCACCTGCACTGGGTCACCATATCTATTCCTCCAGACACAGCTCAGGTCTAGGCAAGGCTTTGGCAGAGGTAGTCAGGGACCCCAGACATAGTAAGCAGCCTGGGGGTTGGGAGGGAATATGAAAGGGAAGAGCTACACTGGCTTTTCTGGGGGTACTGCTGGCAGCTGGGAGTAGGAGAGATTGGTTTCTCAGTCCAGAGTCAAAGTAAAGAGAATATTTGTGTGCATGTGTGTGTGAATGTGTGTGTCTATGTGTTTGTGCCTGCATGTCTGTGCCAGGTTGGGCTCAGAAGCAAGGGTCCTGATGGTTCAGGCAAGTCCTACCTGTAAATGATGCCAGGAGCAGAAGCAGCAGCCAGGTCTCAGGCCCCCACATCTCGGCTCCCAGGGACAGGGGCATTGGTTGAAAGGCAGACCTGCCCAGCGTTTCTGAAGTTCCACAGAGTTCTCCCTGGGAGCCGGCTCTAGAGCTGGATAAGGCACTGACCAGAAGGCAGGAAATTGCGGAGTCCCAAGGCACTGACACACCTGCCTACCCCCTTAGGTCTTCACTAGGGGACCCGGCTCTGTTCTATCCGCCAGGTGTAGCTACCCGCACGAAGCCGTGATCGGGAGCTCCGAGCTCCCCCAAAGCTGCTTCCCACGCCGTGGCCAACAACGACGACGGCAGAAACCTGGGAACCTGCTCAGCAGGTCAGAACAGGTGCGTCTCCGGGGGCTGGGCCTGGCACGGGGACTCAGCAGCCGCCGCCCCCATGGCCTGGGCTAGCTAATGGGCGCCAGGGAGGGAGGGAAGGAGGGAAGGACCTGGGTGGGGGCAGTGGGATCCCATCTTCAGCTCCAGACCTTACCTGCGAGTGTTTGGAAGGGGCTGTGAAGAGAGAGGCAAAGGCAAGAGGAGGGGAGGCTCAGGGTGTCTCAAAGCGGGAGGCACCAGGCCAGGCCAGAACAACAGGGGTGAGGCGCTTGTGCGTGGAAAGCAACCCAAGCATCTCATACAGCCAGCCCCGCTGCCTCCTGAGGGCCTTGATAAATTCCCCAATCTCCTGGAGGGGTTTATCTTTGCAGCCACAGAATTAAAGGCCAGAACTGAGGAGGATCCTGGCAGTGCTAGCTCATATACTTCATTCTTCACATGAGAAAACTGAGGCCCAGAGAGGGAGAGGGACTTGCTGGAGGACATGCAACTTAGTATCACGGTTTGCTCAGACACCTCTATCTCTGAGGCAAGGAGCTACACCTTGTTACCCATCCAGGAGTCCCAGAAGTGCATCAGTACAACCTGAGTGAAAAAGAGGTTCCTTTCCACCCTCTCCCTGGTTATTTTACCCATTTTACCCCATGGTCGTTGGACAAGAGCACATAAGTGGACTTTACAAGGACAATCTTCATTTCAAATACTCTGTCCCTGTTCCATAAGTATACACTTGTTTCTATTTTGGATGCAAAAAATGTGACCACCAAGTTATACAAAAGCTTACTGGACTACCTGAGATAGGTCAGAGGAAGGGGGCATATTCTGAACCCCTGAAAATTTAGTGAAGAGGAGGGGCAAGGTCACTGGCAGATTGGGTCTTAAAAAAACAACAACAGGTAAATATAGAGACAGACATGGGAGGAAAACAAAATAGGATTAAAATCTTGCAGGATCCTCTCTGTCCGATGAAGGGCAGGAAGAAGAATCAGGAAGCAGTAAGGGAGGGTTATTTCATATAGAATATTTTTTACCATCACCCTACAAACTCTACCTGTCACGATCTTATTCATCTTTCAAAGCTGACCTCAAATGCCACATCTTCCATGAAGCCTTCTCAGCTCCTCCCACCCCAAATTAATCTTTCTCTCTTCTATTCTTCCTCAGCTCTGCTAGTCCTTTTATTATAGCTTATGTACTCATAATTTGTGCACATCTTATCTCCTTAACTAAATTGTAAGTTTCAACTCAAGGAACACTGATTGAGGCCTGCTGTGTGCCAGAGATTCAGTAAGTGTGTTCAATTGAGGGGCAGAATGAGAGTCGTAGTCTGTGAAATCCTTGAAAGTTGAGCTTGTTTTATAATGTTGTCTCAGTCATTTGTGCTAGGATAGTGCACAGTACTTAATGGGAACCAAATACTTTTTTGTCGAAGCTGTCAATTTCTGAAAAAGTGGTAAGGTAGGGTCAGTAAAGCAGAGATCTTGACTGACTGTTAGTTACCATCCTGGAACTGGGTAGTGACCTGGACTTTAACCCTGCCTCTGGACTATGACCCTTACTCTTGCTCTAGGTTCCACTTCTCAGCAATGACCATGGTAGTGAACTCTTGCTCAGGTGCTATTTCCTGTGGGTCAGGGGAAGCCTCAAGAGCTGTGCAGATGCTAAATGTCTCCAGTTTCTCTCCACCTCCACGTTGGCAAACCCCTTCCCCTCTTCAAGACTCAGGTCTCCACCTGTGCCAGGGGAAAGGCCCCACCCCGATGCTGCTTTGAGATCCACTGCAGCAGGGGTGGGGTAGGGCAGGGGGGAGTGGGAGGAGGGAGCATCCTGTGTTATAATTATGATTATCACACCTTGGATCCTATCACATGCTTTCAGAAGAGCTCCTTTCCTTCCCAAGGATTCACCTCCAGGTACAGGAAACCACAGGAGAAACTGAGGCATGGGGGTGGGAAAGCAGATCACAAGGTGGGTATCCAATCTTCTCCCTTTCCATTCACAGGATACTCTTCCGTCCAAAGTGCATCCAGTTAGGACATCTCTGAGCCCCTGGTTGGGACCCTCAATCATTCACCTCTAGGGCCAGCCCATGGCTCACTTGGGAGAGTGCGGTGCTGATAACACCAGCCACAGGTTTGGATGGCCGGTTAGTTCACTTGGGAGAGCACGGTGCTGACAACACCAGCGCAAGGGTTAAGATCCCCTTATTGGTCATTTTAAAATTTAAAAAAAATCATTCACCTCCAACTCTAGCCAAATAGAGCACTGAAGGGAGGCAGAACTTTTCAGAGGTGGTGTTAAGGTAATGGCCATGCCCATTTTTTCATTTGCATGTCCAAGTCTTTTGTGTGTGTGTGTGTGACCGGTAAGGGGATCGTAACCCTTGGCTTGGTGTCACCCACACCGCGCTCAGCCAGTGAGCGCACCGGCCATCCCTATATAGGATCCGAACCTGTGGCCTCGGCGCTCCCAGCACCGCTGTGCTCCCAGCACCGCACTCTCCCCAGTGAGCCACGGGTTCGGCCCTGTATGTCCAAGTCTTAGTAAACACCAGATGAAGCCTTGAAGTAGGGTCTAAGGGCACCACTGGTCCTGAGAGGGAGCTTTAGAGTCAGGCAGCCACTCCAGGCCTTCAACTGAGGTAGGGATCTTTCCTCTTCTAACAAATATCTACCTTAAAGTCCCTCGGTCCTTTCATTCCCTCAATCCTGTATGTCTCACAAGGGAATATGAATATGCCCTCATACTTAGGCTTTTCTTACCCTCTTCTGGGATGAAACCTGGGTAAGGCACATTTCAGGGGTGGGGCTGGAAGAAAACATTGGTTGGGGAGGGAAAATTTTCAAGACCAGTGCCTGACAGCCTGGGTTTCATTCTTTCTTCCACATTGAATCCCCATTCCCCTCATGCCTCTCTACCTACCCTCCTCCCACCCACATTCTGGGCCCTAAGAATGGGAACAATTCAAGCCATGGTGGCATCTTTAGCATGTTTATTTGTCTGAGTGGCATAACTGTGTGCATGCCTGCACACATGCATTCATTTAACAGACTTTTAGTGAGTACTACTTTGTGTCAGGCTCAAGGGAGGAGACAGAAACAGATAACACACAGAGCCCTCGATCAAGACAGACAAACACATAAACAGCTGTAATACACTATACCCCACCATCAGGCATTCTCCATGTGTCTCTGTAAGTGTACATGACGTGTATATATGTGGGACTATCTGTGTGCATAACTGCAGATGCTCATTATCTGCATGTGTCCAAGCATCCGCTCATACCCATCTCTGTCCCCATGACAGGCTGCACACCTAAGCCAAACCGGTTGGAATGGGTTGTGCTGAAATTTTTGTTTGTGTCAATGGGACCTGAGGTGAGTCACGGAGGGACAAGGATGGGTGGAGTGGTGTGGGGAAGAAGAGTGAGAGTGAGGGTCAGATTGAGTGAGAGAGGGAGGGAAGGAGTAGGTCAAGTTGGGAAGGGCTAGGGGTGGGGTGTCAGGTGGATGCAAGGTTGGGGGTAGGACTAGATGAGAAAGCTCCTTAGTGAGTAATATCCTGTTTGTCTGCAGTGAGATCTCAGGTCAGAGAAGAGTCAGAGGCTAGTGGGGAGACCCTTGGGCTCTGGGAGAGAGGAGGGCGAATAATAAATCAGAGTTGAACTAGCTGGAAGCATGGCTGTGGATAAAATATTTGCAATCCTTTTCTGTACAGCTTTGTCTGTGTGATAAGATATTCCTGATCTACTCATTGTATTGATTTCTGCACCATTTGCATAGCAAGGTGTTGGGGAGCTGATTGATTTGGTGGAAGGTTACTGATATAGGACTTGATCCCACCCCCCAGGACTGAGACTATTTCAGGTAGTAGCTTCAAAGTCTCTCCTCCTGCTCTTTCCTAGGATGTTCCCCACCCGTGGAGGTGTGGTGGGAAACCCCCATACAGGACACAAGGGCTCCAGCTGCTTTTTCTCCACTGCAAAACATCTTTGCTCCCCTTCAGCAGGAGCTTCACTGTGCCCAATATCAGGATGGTGGTGTCCTGTTTTCCAGAAGATTCCATCTAAACATTGCTATGGGCTGTGTTGTTTTTATCTGCCTGTCCTGCAGGCTCATTGATTCCAACACCCAGCCCCATCCTTTAATGACAACCATATTTCCTGGTTGCCTAACATCGCTTGGAGATCAGGGGGCTGGGTTTGATTGCTTTTCCGAAGGCTCTAAAGCTGGAGTGAGCCACCCAAGGGAGGAGGAAGTAGAAAATAAGGCACGTTCAGGTCCTGTTTCTCAGTAGGCTCAGTTGTGTGCAGAGCCCGCTCCTCCTTGCTCTCATGCCATGGACTCTCCAAGTTTGTATAAACATACTACCACAAAATCAGGACCAGAGCATGGGTTAAAAGACAAACATCTTTATTCATTGACCTTGCATCTCTAGATGTGTTGGCACTTTTAAAATGTTCTTGGTATAGGTCCTGGCTGGTACAGGATGAGAATAGGAACCCTCATCAGCCTTCCAAGTGGTGATGATAGCAGAAGATGCAGCAGCGAGGAGGAGGTGAGAGCAAAGGTTGGAGGAGTCCTGAGAATTTGGTGAGAGAATGGATTCCAGTGAGGATCCCTGACTGTGCTCCCCTGCAGTCTCCCCTGTCCTCAGGCCAAGCCACAGGAAGAGCTAAGCTCCTTAGCTTAGCTGTTGGGTAACAAGGAGGCAGCCGCTAGGGGCCAGCATGACCTGCAGAGTCTGTACCACCAGGGGCATCTTCAGATGACACCAGTCCTTTGTAGAGTGGGGAAGACCCCGAGGAGAGAGAGCAAGTGGTGTAAAGGGCCCTGAGGGAAGAATGGAAGGAGCTGGAAGACATTAGAGGAGAGGGGCAGAAGCTGAGAGTAGAGAAGGGGTAGGTGGAGATTGGGAGGAATGGAATAGGAACATGGGATTCCTGTAATTTGAGGGCAAATTTTCTTTAAATGTTTGTTAGCATAATCTTCCTTCTATATATTCCAGGAGCATCCATCTCTCCCCCTTGTAAGCCCTAATTCCCTCTTTTCTTTCCCCACCAGGACCCCAAAGTCACCCCAGACCTGCAGGCTTACTCTGTTTCCACCATTAGTGCTGAGCAGGCAGGTGTAGTTGCCTTGGTAAGAGACCAGGATGTGGTGCAGCTGTAGAGGAGCCCTAATCCTGGGTGCCCAGGCTCTGTCTCTGCCTGGTTCTGGAAAACAGGGGCCAGATCTCCTAGTTCCAAGGCACCCCTAAGGCCCTGCTTCAGATCTAGTTCTTGGCCTTGCTCCCACTGCACCCGGAGACTTGGACCCTGTCCTGCACCAGTTTTCAGTCCCATATACAGCAAGGTTGGAAGCCTCTGAGCTAAGGATTGAGGAGGTAAGTCCTGGTCTGGGGGAGAAGCAGGGAGTAGAAGCCAAGTAGAGCATGCCTCTGATTCCCTTTGGAGAATCTTCCATCACAGCCCCAAGATATAATTCATACTTCCTTTGCAGGAACCCTGTAAAGCTAGGGCTTACAGACCCCTCGAGTCTGTTGCACAGATTAGGTTACAAACCCTCCACATGCAGGTCTGTGAGCTAGATTAAAAAAAAAAAAAAAAGGTTCTGAGAGCCATAGGTATAGAAAAATGGAATGGGTTTTATTCAGATCTAGGAGCAACTGTCCTAGCAGCTTCTCTGAGAGTTCTGAGAAGCACGGTGGATCAGAGCTGTTAGTCTTTTATACTTAAGTCCACAACCCTGGACACCTGGGTGCCCATACACAGCTTACATTAAGTAGTAACAAGGAATACCTGAAGATATTTACAGCAAATGCTCGGCAAGATTCTGAACATCTGAGGTGCCCTGACATTTTCCTATTTTTCCCAACAAACCCCTAGTAACTGCCTTCCAGCCTCACCTTGAAGCCTTCGTGAACTTCAATTTCTCCTTCAATTCCAGAAGTGGCATAAAAGAAGAAGGGCTAGGGATCAAGAAACAGGGCAAAAGTCTCTTGCCAGTGATAATTAGCAAGGTTGGAAGCATTGGTCCATGAGCTATAAGGAAAGGGGAGAGGAACAAAGACAAGTCTAACTTCCCCTGGCCAGTCTACTTTCCTCCCTGGGTCCAGGCCTCCACCCACTAAGGTCTTCTGTGGGGGAATCCTACTCCCTGAAAAGGCTCCATATATTGAAGTTCAAGTCCTCATCAATAATCAAGACCTTACAACTGTGCCCAGGAACCCCCAAACTGCTACAGTTCTAGAATACAGCCAAAAAGGGAAGAAGTCTGGCAACTCTTGGAAAGTTCCAAACCTCCTTACAGGAAAGTCAGATGGCTGGCTCTGTTTAGCAGAGAAAAAAAGGGCAGCAATCCAGAGAAATAAGCACAAAAGTAGAAACAGTGAGAGACAGATCTCAAGGCACAGTGAGACTGACAGAAACTTACAGACAGAAAGATATATGGGGGGGTGCATACATGTACACACACACAGAGTTATCAAACAGGGGTGGAGAATTCAGAGACAAAGTGGCTGAGACAAAATCTGAAACAGAGACAGAAAGACCTGGAGAGAAATTTCTGGATTCCTACTTGCCCATTGCTGGGATCACTTAGGTACTTCCTTCGGCCCTCAATATACACCAATCATCAATGACCCAATGATACTTTCCTATACAACACGGCCAAGTCCCTCAACAACACAAGTTCCTCCCCCATCCTTATCCCACCTTTCCATCATTCTCTAACTCATCTGCTTCCCACTCCCTTCCACCCCACGTCTGCTTACAATTCCAGCTTTCTCTCTAACTTCTAGTTCATGTCCAATCAGAGGAGCTCTCAAGATCTGGCCTCCTGAAATCTTTTTTCCTTTGTCCTGTCTGTCCATGTCCTTATTCTGGCTGAGCTGAGAGCAAAGAGCCAGAATTGAGGCCAGGAAATCAAGTGTCCAGAATGAGCTATGGAGAAAATGTAGAAGAGTCAGAGGACAATAGAGGAAGAGCCAGAGAGAGGACCTGAAGGATGGGATAGCTTGTGAGATACAGGCAGAGGGAATTGTGGGACTCCTGAGAGTGTGACTAAGCCCCTTGGCTTTCTGTGTGTACATGACAAGGCTGGGAACCAGAGATGATTCCAGGTCAGAAAATGGGGTTAAGGGAGGGAGAAGATAGAGTGAGAGCTTTCTGAAGGTTTGAGGAAGGAGGCACAGATTTGGAGCTAGGACAGCCATCTAAGGCTGAGAAGCTAGGGTCTAGGTATCCTTGCTAGCTAGAGATGGCCAACTGAGACAGATTCAACTCATTGGATCATGTCAGGATTATTATGATATTTCAAGATATTCTGTCCCCACCCCCACTCCTGAACAGAGGTTGTACCTGGATATTATTCGCAGGTGAAAGCAGGTCCAGAGAACCAAGAGCCCCTTCTCCCTTTCTCTCAGGTCTACCCTTCACTTTATCTTTTATCTTTTTTTTTTCTTGGTGACTGGCCAGTACAGGGATCCAAAACCTTGACCTTGGTGTTCTCAGCACCACACTCTCCCAAGCGAGCTAAACCAGCCAGTCCCACTTTATCTTAATGTCCTTTCGGTTTGTGTCATTGGAAGGGTCATTATAGACCACTTCAGATGCTGTCCTGGGTTGTAAAGTATGTCATACAAGTGTAGATTGGCTGGTTTTCTTCCCTTCTCTCTCCCTTTATTTGTTGTTGTTGGCCGTGGCAGTGGTGGTAGTGGTGGCTGGCCAGTACTGAGATCTGAATCTCTCCCTTTTTTTAATGGCTTCTTTTCTCCCTCCTCCAAAATATGGGCTTGGTTCAGACTAACCAGGGGAGGTAGGATTCCTGGGCAGTTCCTCTCCTTGGGTCTAGGGTTGGCACAGCAATGGATACTAGGGAGTAGTACTGCCTAGTAGTAGTATCCTACTAGGTGGAACTGAGGCAGGTGCAGAACTGGAAAGGGTACTGCCAAGAAATATGTGAGGTTCAGGTGCCATGTCCAAGTGAGTCCTACTGCTAAGGACTCAGAGTCAGAGTGGCAGCTAGGAGGAAAAGGAAAACAAAGTTGGAAGAGGAGCTGGAAAGGACCACGGGGTGGAGAGTTCCCATTTCTATCCAGGATAGGCAGAAAGTAAGAGTCTGGCAGAACAGCCAAAGGCTAAGGCAAAAGCAATAGCCCGAAATGGGCATATTGGCCAATAAGGTTTAAGCAAAATGACCCCACCCTCCCAGGTGGCTCCTCACTTAATCCTAGGAGTATGACAGATCTGAATCTAGCTATTGGGAGGTTAGCCAGTGAGAAACCTTAGGAGAAGACTAGCTTTCAGATTTTAGCTAAGGACATTAGAAGTTAGTGCGTTCTTAAGAGATTTTTACCATGATCTTAGAAAAATGAAGATCTGGCCTGTCAGACTCAGAGAAAGCTATAGGTGGACAGAAATTTTCAAAGCTATTGTTGAATCTCAGCTTTAAGGTAGAGGTGGGGAACAGGTGCTGGTAACCTTCCAGTCTCTCTGACTGTGCCTTCCTGCCCATACCCTCCCCATGCTGTTTTCTCTGAGGGTGGAAGCCTGCTGCGCTATCAGACCTCTGAATTACATGACCATCCCCACTGCAGCCCCGGACACTCTGTGGCCCCAATTTCTCAGGTAAGATAGAGATGAACTCGATGTGTAGAAACCAAAGGCAAAACTAGCAAAGGCATCATTCCCATTTCAGCGCAGGCCTGGGGGACACAGATCCTGTTTCTGCCCCACCCCCGCTGTGCTGGGAGTAGAAATCTGTCTGTATTTCCTCGTGCAGCTGAAAATAGTCACTTTGGCTATGGGCCTCTTCATTTTTCACTGGTCCTGGAGGGACAGTTAAGTTCAGGGACTTGGATTGAGTAAAAGGAAGGTATCAGGGAGGGGCAAGAATCTGTTTTTCTTACTCCTCCCCAACTTCAGCCCCATCCAGCTTCTAAGACTGGGCAGCTTCTGCCCTGGATCTTATCAGGAGAAACTCCCTGCCCATAATCCTGAGTTCCGAGGCCACAGCCTTAGTTTCCCTGTGTTGTATGAACCTGATGAGGCAAGATGAAATAAAGACTCTTCCTAGGACTCAGTAGTGAAGAGTTGTCCAAAGCTCAAGTATACCTAAGATATTTCCCCTCCCCCAACCCAACCAAGCACACGCGCGTGTGCTCTCACACGCACACACACTCTCCTTAGTATGCCCGAGAGACTGGGTTCTACTACCCCCTAGTGGCCAGAGCTGAAAGGACGCTCCCACCCCCAAGCCCTCACCACGGAATTGTAGGTAGGGAAGACACCTAAGGGATAAGCCAACAGCCAGCACCTTTTAGAAATGAGAACGCTGAGGAAGCCTAGAGAGAAATAATCCCTTTGAGAGTCAGAGGCACGTGGGACTAGAACGCAAGCCTCCTGACTCCCAGGCCAGTGCTCAGTCCACTTTCACTTCCTCACCCTCTGACTTTTGTTTTCCCTTCCTAGCTCATCTCTGGGGAGGTCAGAGTAATCAGAAGGACATCGTCCCTCCCCGCCCGGTGGAGCAACACCTGCACCTTAAATGTCACAATCACAAGTCAGTTCGCAGCTGAGGTTCTGAGGAATTGGCTGTCCCCCGACTTGCTGACGTTAACAATCTTTCGGGATTTTTACTTGACTCGCACTGCTCCTCTCGCCTTGGTGACATCACCGAACGACTCCCGGTAGCTACCCGTCTCCCGTCTCCACGGTAACCGGTGCTTTGCGACCTTCAGTTTGTCGCGGTCGCGCCGCACAGCTGCAGTGGTTGCCGGGCGACGGCGGAGAGAAGGCAGTGGATTGAGGTGGGAACCCGGGCCGGTGTCCTGTAAGGGAGGTGCTCATGTAGGGTGCGCTCCCAGCCGCAGACCCTGCTGTCCTCCCCGTCCCCCAGGCCCATGGCGGTGGCGGTGCCCCCAGGTCGGGCGGGGGGCTCGGGCTGGGCCTGGCGGCCGGTGGCGCAGGACGCGCTTCTAGCTCGGGCCTTCCATTCATGCACCGAATTGCAGGGACGGTTGTATCTGGTGGGGGGTCTCCTAGCAGGAGGAGCAAGAGAGCCCAGCAGCGATACGGTGGTCTTCGACCCGGCTGGGGGCCAGGCTGTGCGATTGGGAGCCCGGGGCAGCCCCCAGCGCAGTCACCACGACGCGGCACCCGTGGGCGGGCGTTGGCTGTGCGTGGTGGGCGGCTGGGACGGGTCTCGCCGCCTGGCCACAGTGGCCGCGCTGGACACAGAGCGCGGAGTGTGGGAGGCGTGGACAGCGACCCCTAGCAACTGTCCCCCTGCCGGCCTCAGCAGTCACACCTGCACCCGCCTCTCGGACCGTGAGCTTCGGGTAGCTGGCCGAGAGGGCAGTATCCGCACTCAGCGACGTTATGGAAGCATCTACACGTTAAGGCTGGACCCCAACGCCCGCAGCTATTGGTAGGCACCCTCCGTCCAAAACCTTTCGCCCTCCTTTCGTCTACACTCTGGAAAAACAAAAGCTAGACAAATTCCTCAAGCAACTGACCCACATCCTAGCACCCTCCTTCCCCGGGATCTACCATGTCTAGGATAGCTCAACTCTCTCTACGGTATAACCCTCCTTCTCATCCGACCTATATACTGCACTGCCCCTTGCCTTTCTATCCTTGGCAAGCACAGTGGGGAAAAGGCCGTATTGCACTTACATTTTCCAGAAAACCCCACTCAGGCCTGAATTTCTGTATATCCACAGCTACAAGGAAGAAGGATGCCACACAGTCTCACGCTCAGGTCACTGTGCTGCTCTGCTCCAAACTCCTGGACCCCACCCAGGTCATCAGCTATTGCTCTTTGGGGGTTGCAACTCAGCTGAACCAGAAGTAGCTGGGCTTTGGAGTCATGGAAAGATTAAGGTATTATCTACTCACATCTTGCTTAGAGTGGAAGGGAGCTAAAATTGTGATGCCCAAATCCCTGCAGACAGTTTGTTCTTTCTCCCTGCAAGGAGGAACCACCTGTTGCTCCTCATTTGATGGAACAGCTTGCAAGGCTTGTGAGCAGTGGGCAGGGGTCCCGACAGGGGCCCCAGGGACTACGGCATCACTCGTGTTCTGTGGTGGGACCCTTTGCTGTGCTGTTTGGTGGAGAAACTCTGACCAGAGCTAGAGACACCATCTGCAATGACCTCTACATCTATGATACCCGTGAGAGCCAGACCAATGGTTGAAGAGGGAAAAGGTGGGAAGTTAGGAGAGCCCAAAGAATACAGAAAGAGGACAGAGTGATGGGGTAGGAAGGAGGAAGAATTAGTTGACAAGAGTTAAAGGAGTATACAGAATATTAAACATCTGAAGAGGCCCACAAATAAAGTGAGGAGAAAAATAATGGGCAAGGCTTTGGTCATGTTGAGTTCCATGGGTGACAAAGTGCTCCTACCTCAATAACCACCTTCTGCCTCTACCCAACAGGCAAGTCTCCTTCTCTGTGGTTCCACTTCCCCTGTGCAGACCGTGGGCTGAAACGTGTGGGCCATCGCACCTGCCTTTGGAATGATCAGCTTTACCTGGTTGGGGGTTTTTGTGAGGATGGCAGGACAGCCAGTCCACAGGTTTGCATCTTGGACCTCTTTTTCTAAAGAATAGTGCCAAGACACACTGCCAAGCCTCTATTTTATTGCAAACCCATAAAGCATTATCACCAGAGCTATCTGCCTCACTTCAAATGCTTATTAAATTTCAACCCGAGAGTCTAATTTGTCTCTGAAATTTTTTTAAAAGGGCAATAAATAAGTACACTCATCTTGATTTGCAAGAGAAAGGATAAAATATGGGTCCTACTCTGATATTGTGAGCCATTAACCTGATGGAAACAAAAACCGCAAGTCATGTGTTGTCTCCTGCCCCATACAATTTCCACCCGATAGGGAGAAAGCTTCAGACTACAGCTAAGCATTCTGACCAAAACATTTAATTAACAAAAAATATTACAGTAGCAGAGAAAATAATAATAATAACAATAAAGGGAAATTAGTAGTAGGAGGAGTCAGGGTAGAAAAAAATGCAAATGCCTTGGTCCCTAGGAGACCAATACTCCAGCTGAGCTGGCCTTAGCCCCAGCCCCTTCTGAGTTTTCCTTGGCTGCTGGCTTCTCATCTTCCCCCATGAGACGAATGTTGTGCTTTTCCCGGAATTCATTTAATTCTTTTCCCTTTGCCTGAAGCTGCTGTGTCAGTGTCTCAATGATCTTCTGTATCTAGAGAGCAAGCAACATGGATTACACAAGGATATCAGGATTCCTTTCCTTCTACCTGGAATGGACTATGGTTGGGATAAGTGAAGGAGAGATGACACTTCTAACCTTACCTTTAACCAAGTATTAACCAATTTTAAATGCAGCCTCCTGGATCCTCTTCTGAACGCACTGACTCAGAACCTTTGGGAATGCCACGAAATGACATTTTACAAATAAGCAGCCCAGGTGATTCTTACATATGTTAAAGTTTATAAACCACTGTTTGAAAAAGGAATAATTTTAGTGTCTGGGCTCCACTGTTAATACTTGGTTAAAGGTAAGGTTAGAAGTGTCATCTCTCCTTCACTTACCCCAACCATGGTCCACCTTTAAGTGATTTTGATGCAGGTATCCATGGATTACACTGTGAAAAAAACAGTTCTCACCTCCTACCCAACTCAGCCAGGTCACAGAGCCCATGGAAAGGGAATAGAGCTGGCAACTCCTTTTGTGTAAGGAGCTGGGTTTATCATAGCATACAGAGCACAGGCTAATAGGCTATTTATGCTGTCTTCAACATAAGTTTCTACCCAGACTTTCCTCCCCCTTATTTCCTAAATCCCTGGCCTCTCCTTGTTCCTTACCCTTTTGCTGCCCAAAGCTTCTCCTCAGGGACTCTTGCTCACCTGCTCCTTGTTGTTCTCCAAAGCAGGCAGCACCTCTTTGACAGTCCGCTCTACCAGCACTCCTCCAACCATGCGGTAGCACTTGCGGGTTTCATCTACCTCCTTCAGTGTATCAATCACTAGGCTGGGGTAGGACAAGGCAGAACCTGAGAATTCAATCCCACTCTTCCGCAACCCTCCCTCACAAAATGGCCCATCCAACAGTCTGATTGTTTACTTCTCCCTGACTTTCTCACCTGTGCTCATTCAACTCCATCTCCAGCTCAGCTGCTTTAGATGCCAAGCCCCGCTGTTCCTGCCGAAGACGGTTGAAGCCAGCAATTACCTAAGGACAGAGAGAAGAGATGAGAGGGGACAGTGGAAATGGTAGAGGATCAAGACACTACACAGGGTGGCAAGATTTACAAAGGTGCAATAGTGGACACTTACCTTGGAAAAAGAGTAGAACACAAGTGTGCACTTTTTTTTCTTTCACAGCTGGCTGGTAAAGGGATCCAAACCTTGGCGCTGTAACACTTTACTCTAACCAACTGAGCTGACCAGCCAGTCCAAGTTTGTGATTCTAAATAAGTTTGGAATTCCATTCACCAAATACTGAATGCCTACCTACTATGTGCGAGATGTTTGCTAGGCACTGGAGAATATAACAATAGATTTGGCTTCTGACTTCTTGTTTGGTGGGGAATAGGTATTTATAACATAGGGATGGGGGTCGAGGGCTACTGGCGTACAGGGGAACCTAAAATACCAGGTAAGGAAGCCTGTCAGGAAGGGCTTTGTAATGAGGAACTCTTGTTTGGGTCTTCCCAGTATCTCATCCATTAGGGAACTGCCCCTTCTTAATTCAGTGGGGTTCTTCTGGGGCCACTAATCACAGGGTCCTTGCCTATTGATGACAGGGGCAGTGACCTATTCTATGCGAGAGTCTCTACAAGAATTTGAATTTTGGATGGAGAAGTCAACTAAAGTTAAGACACTTAGTGCTATAGAGATGGCCCTCCATTCCTATTCCTGGGTTCCCCAACTTTTTTTTTTAAAGATGACCAGTAAAGGGATCCCAACCCTTGACTTGGTGTTGTCAGCACCACGTTCTCCAAAGTGAGCAAACCGGCCATCCCTATATAGGGATCCGAACGCTTGGCCTTGGTGTCATCAGTACTGCACTTTCCCAAGTTAGCCACGGGTCGGCCCCTAGCTTTTTATTTTTTTTTAAATCATTGTTTTCAATTCTGTGAACTACTCACTATTCTTCAAAAACACTCCTTTTAAAAAAAAAAACAACACAAATTGACCAGTCAGTCTCTGTAGCCTATAAACTCTTAACTGATACAGGCTTTCTGAGAGATAATGTCTTAAATGAAGCCTGAAGGATGAGAAATTGGGAGTAGGAGAAGGGGAGGGCAAAAGATGCACATGAGATAACATATGTAAAGGCCCAGAGAAGTAATTACTGCCAGCTCCCAATTCCCCAGAAACAGCAGAGAATAAAAACAGTGTGTGAAAACCAGACTTGGTACTAATACCACCACCACTGTCACTCCCAGTATGGGGTTCTGATGACTGTGTTTGGAAAGACATATCAGATGAAAAGTAGGAGATGAAATGAGGAAAGAAAATGGGAAAGGGGGGGTGGGAATTTGGGGGAAAAAACAAAACAAAACAAAATTTAAGGCTTGGAGACAAGAGACCAGCTTTCAAGTTCTGCCTCTGCTACTTATTGGATCTATGGCCTTGGATAGATATTTAATCCTACAGTTCTCAACCATGGCTACATGTTAGAATCACCTGAGGAACATTTTTAAAATAGTGGAGCCTCAGAACAACCACACAATCACCAGGGAAAAGGCCCAGATCTCAGTATTTTTAAAAAGATCTCCCACATAATTCTAAGGTGCAGCCAGAAACAAGAAGCCACCGAGCCTTAATTTTCTTACCTGTAAAATGCACATAATAATGATACCATGTGAACCAATGAGTGTGAAATGGCTTTGTAAGCAGTAAAGTACATTAATTATTATCATGGCCTTCTCTCCAAATCCAGACGTACTCCCTGGGAAACCTCCTGGACATCTGAGAGCAGTGAACCCAATCCATTCATACCACTGCCAAATCTCTCACTCCCATTTACATCATCTCCAGTTTCACTGCCAGAAACATTGCCCCAGTATTGATGATTAAGCACCTCATCTCTACTAGGGCCCCTTATCTCTAGTTCTGGCTCTCTGTAAGGTTCATATACAGGTAATACAAGCCAATGGCTGATGTGCACCACCCCTACATCCCTTCAACTGCCCAATAAATCAAGGAATAATACCTGACCAAGAACCTGTCAGTCCAGCAACTTCTCCCTTCTCCAGTCCATCACCCCTTCATCTCAATCTGTTCCAACCACTCACTTCAACAAATGCCATGTAAATCTAACTCATCTACAGTCTGTTTTTCCTTCACCTTCATTGCCTATACCAAAACTACTCCATCTACAATTAGCTTTTTCTCCACTGTCAATGTTACAGATCAAAATAATTTCATCTAAGAAAATTCCACAACTAAACCAGATTCTAGATGTTCTCCTAACACCCAAATGACCCACTTTCCTGGATGCATGTTGTTAAATGCATCAATGAAATCATCTTAAATGTCTAAAATTTCTGAGGCCTGAATTTATTTTCCTTAGTCATTAGTAGGAATCTGCTTTTCAACAACCAATTTAGCACAAATAAATGTAGAGAATTTTAAAGATTCCAACTTTTTTTGTTAATTTTTATTGAATCATAATTGATTATACATATTTTTGGGGTTCAACGTTGACATATGTTGATCAAATCAATATTACTAGCATATATCGTACTTATTCTTTATGCCCCTTGTCCAATCTCTCCCCATCTCTCTCTCCTTCATCCCTCCCCCCTCTAATTACCCTAGATTTTTTCTCTCCTTCTGAAAGAGTAATGGTTACTCTGTTGATTTGTTGCCTAGATGATCTGTCCAATGCTGAGAGGTGTGTCAGGTCCCCCGATATCAACGTAAAGTAGATGTTTCTTCTGTCACTCTGGAATGGGCTTTGTGGAGAGAGACATCTTCTTTTCTTTGGTCTCTGCTGGTGACTCTCCTTGCATCAATGCACTCCAGTGGCTGGCGGACCATCTTCATGGTGGTTGTGGTGTTTAGCCGCTTTTCCGGCAGCCGTGGTTGTTATGGTTGCTGTGGTGGGCCACCCACATGGAGGTGATGTTTTTGGCATGCTCCTCAGGACTGACAGTGTGACTGGTTGTGGGAGGGGGTTCTGGTCCCTGGCTCTGTGCCTCAGGTCCACAGGTGGCCCGAGGCGCTGGTGGTGTGCCTGGGCTGGAACTAATTTTTTGTCCTTTGCTTACTTCTAAAATGGGGGAACTTCCTGTGGGGACCAGTACTTCAGCTGTGTGGTTTAGCTAAATTGCTGCTTTACTGCTGATTCCCTAGGGAAGGCTTTTTGTGCAGCTCAGGGTTTAATGGTTGACTTCATAAGTACTTCAGCTCTCCAGAGACCCACTGCACCTGGGTTGTGTAGAAACTCTGATCTGGCGTCTTCTCATCAAACTGCACCCCATGCAATTCTATATTCCTGACCAGTCTCCTCTGAGCAGTCCTTCACTGACTGGGGTGCTGGTCAGCTGTCCTTGCTGTGCCCCAGTGTTCCCCCGGTGGGCCTGTGTCCCCCACCACCTGTGCTACAAACACTTCCCATGTGCCAGTCCCTTGCAATGACTCACCAGCTGTGAGTGGCTCCTTTTTTTCAGTTGTTGTGGCTCCTCGCTCCTATATTGCTCCATGGGAAGGCTCCATGGGAAGCCTATTA